CACACACACACACAGCTTTGCAAACACACTATCCAGCCTCTTGTACACACCAACACACATACAGGTGCTTGCAGTCAGACCGTACAGCATCAACGATCCGCCGCTGCCTTTCACATGGCGGTTACATCGATGCATGTTGCAGAACGGTGTGTGTATTCGGCTGCATCCATCCATGTGTAAGCAACCTTAAGGTGTGTATCCACGTGAATCCGTGTGTGCGTCTCCAAAGGACACATGATATCGCCGTCTCATTAGCCGTACAGTTCTTTGTTTGGAGTAACGACTGTGTGTGTATGTGTGTGTGTCCCGTAGGGTTGCCATATGTTGGGCATTAATCCTCGTCAACGGTCCACTCTCCTTACAGCACCGAGCTCAGGAACAAAGAACAGGTCACACACACACAACAAAGGAGGAGGGGGGCATGTGCACACACATACTACACACGCGTATTACACACTGTATGTGAAAGTCTGACATTACACACAGTAACTTCACACACAGTTTACTGGCCTACATTCATCGGGTCGCCCACAACCTTGACTGCGTTCAAACTTTTAAAAATGGAGCCGGTCCATTTATCGTCCACTGGATCTCGTCATCGGAACGTGTTCTAAAGCAGCAGGTGAGACGCGACCTCTGACCTTCAGCGCTGAAGTTGCATCTCTCTTTTTATTCCTTTCCCTCTGACGGTGAGATGTCTGCGTCTCCGTGATGGAATGAGACTAAAAATCAAAAATGTCCACCGCCTTGAACGCCACAGTTTCAAACAGATGTTCAGAGTCCCCGATAGAAATGACTCTCAGCTACCACCACACCCAGTCATCTGTTAAACTTGTGTTTGCCCAGTTCAAACAGCTGTGGCGGCCATCTTGACCTGGTTGACTCCAAACATCAATCAGTTGTTGACTCCAGTCGGACTTCTCTACCCCAAACATCTGTAGACGCCCCCGCTGTTGACCCGATCTCAGTCACTTCAGCTGTTTCTGTCGTGAAACGAGCGTTTGAGGTGGTTGTTGTTTGGTCACGTGTTGCTGACAAACGTTTGGTTTGGGAAAGATGTGCATGGTTTCATTTTGACACGTCCTCAAGACTCTGCAGATGCCCAAGATTTAAACACAGATTTCACATGACCATTAGAGCTCAAAGTAGTTGTTGCAAGGTCGACACGAGGACTTCTCTTCACAGGATCTGGTTGTCCAACAAACTTTTTGGTT